TGTGCCAGTCTGTACTTGTCCCTGTCACGCGGCTGTTGGTTCCGTGTGTGTGTGTCTGTGTGTGTGTGTGTGTCTGAGTCCACGGGTGGCATAAACACTTAAGTGACTGGCTACTAACCGAAAGGCTGGTGGTTCAAATCTACCCAGAGAGGCCTTGGAACAAAAAGATGACAGCTTTGAAAACCCCTGGGGAGCACAGTTCTGCTGTGCACACACTGGGTCATCATGAGTTGTACCCGACTTGACCACAACTGGAACATATGTATGTATGTATGCACACACATGCATATACACATAAATGTATGTATATGTATATACGTCCATGTATATAATGATGATATACATATATATGTACGTGTGTATGTATACATATATGTGTATGTTCCAGTTGAGGTGTAGTTAATTACAACTCATGATGACCCAGTGTGTGCAGAGCAGAACTGTGCTCCACAGGGTTTTCAAGGCTGTGACCTTTTTGGAAGCAGATCTCCAGGCCTTTCTTCTAAGGCACCTCTGGGTAGATTTGAACCATGAACCTTTTGGTTGATAGGAGAGACAGAACCTACAGAAGGTTAGTAGTTTAATCCACCCAGTGGTGCAGTGAAAGAAAGGATTGCCAATCTGCTTCTGTAAAATTCACGGCCAAGAAAACCCTATGGAGCAGTTCTACTTTGTAACACATGGGGTTGCCATGAGTTGGAATTGACTCAATGGCAATGGGTTTGATTTTTTTTTTTTTTTGGTATGGAGTACCTGGGTGATGCAAACTGTTCATATGCTCCACTGCTAACCAAAGGATTGGAGGTTCATGTCTACCCAGAGGTACCTCAGAAAGGCTTAGTGATCTACTTCCTAAAAATCAGCCACTGAAAACCCTACGGAGTACCGTTCTACTCTGACACATGCGGGGTCACCATGAGTCAGAGTTGATTCAACAGTAATTGGTACTAGTACTGGTATATAATACATATACTTTTATATATATATACACACACACACACTTTTTTAGCCTTTATGTCAAAGGTCAAATATAAGGAAACATTGTCTTCTCCGAAATTCAAACTTACTAAAAGAAGTAGGTGCAATACAAAAACCCATTTTACTGTAGTGTAAATTACTTTCCTTTATTTCTCCTTTAATTATACCTAGTGCATTAAGTTGATTTTTATAGGTATAACCCAAAAATCCACTGCCATCGAGTTGATTCTGACGCAGAGTGACCCTATAGGACAGAGCAGAACTGGCCCTAGGGTTTCCCAGAAGTGCTGGTGGACTCGAACTGCTGACCTTTTGGTTGGCAGCTGTAGTTCACCATAGTTCTGAACCACTGTGCCACCCAGGCTCCTTTATGGGTGTAGGTAGTATAGATTATCTGAATTTCACTTCAAAATAGCAATGGGATCATTGTAAAATGCTTATTGTACAGAGGTTGCTGGCTGGGGTAGGGTCAAGAAGAACAGCATCTGGACTATTAGAAATGCACATTCTCCAGCCCACCCCAGATGTACTGAAACAGAATCGGCAACCTAGCCAGTTCCCAGGTGAAGTGTCTGCTCCTAAAGGTTTGGGGAGCGCTGATCTTAGGGTCCAGGACCCAGTAGAGGGGTAAGCCCCACCCAGGGGCTGATTATCCAACAGGAAGGTAAGCACCATGCTTACCTTGTTTACCAGATCATCTGTAGAGAACAGTTTCACATTTTTCAATACATCAAAGGTTCTGCTTCTAGGTATGACTGGCATCTGTCTCTCCCCCAACCTCATAGAACCTTCCTACAGAATCAAAGCCTCTTTTCAAATTTACAGTCCCTGACAGAGGCAGATAATCTTGGAGGAAGTTAAGCACAGGCTTACTTGCACTTACTTACTAATCTGTATTGAACAATTTCACATGAGTGGTCAAACTGTTCACTATAGATGATCTGGTAAGCAAGGTAAGCACTGTGCTTACCTTGCCTATTGAATAATCCTCCCCTGCCCCGGCCCCACACCAAACAGTCCCTGCCCTGGCTCCACGGGGGTGCTGGGAGGCACTGGCTCCATGGGGGGGGTTGGGAGGCGCTTGCTCCGAGGGCAGCACGGGGCAGGCCCACCCTGCAGTGGCACGTGATGTCCCAGCCCAAAGCCCAGCTCCCTGAGGAGCCGCAGGGCCGATAAAGAGCCGATGGGGAGGGACCTCCGCACCAGCTGCCACAGAAGGGCTGGAGGAGAAGCCCTTTGCAAAGGTCGGCTTGGAGGCGGCTGAGGTTTGCTTTAGTAGATTACATGGCAGATGTGGAATCAGGCTGGGGCTTGAGCCTCACTGCTACCACTTTGTTGTTTCAGAGCCTTGTAACGCTCCTCAGCTGTGATCTCTGTCAAACGAAGGCAACACTGCTGCCCCCGCAAATGGTGCTGGGGGTTCCAGGAGGGCGAGAGCCAAGTGAGGGGCTGGCCCCCAACAGATGCTCAGGCAAGGCTCTCAGCAGCTCAGGAGGGGTTTTGGATACTGTACGCGTACACACTGCTGTCCACCCCAGTGGGGTGAGGATGGGGGGATTCTGGGCTCTCTGCAGCTCTGTGAGACCAGAAGCAGACGTAGGTGATCCCGTGAAAGAGCGCGTGTCCATCCCAGCCCTGCCCTTCTTGGCTCTGGGGGAGAAAGAGATGTCTCCTGACTCTAAGCACCGTGCTCTGTCTCTCTGCCCCGCCAATGCCTACTGGGGCCTGCAGCTCACGTCAGAGCTCTCTCTCCTACCCCAAACCGGGCTGAGGTGCCTTCAGAGCAAAGCATGTTAGAAACTGCCTATGTGGCTTCCAAACTCCAACAGCTGGAGCAAAGCAGCTGGGAAACAAACCCATCCGACCACCGTTAAGCAGCTGTCCTGAGTCAAATTCCAAGGACAGCAGATCAGATGAATGGTCCCTGCCCTTAGCAATCGTCCTTTTGAAGGGAGGCAAATGTGTCTGCACCTGTGACAACAGGTGCCATGAGCTGGTACAAGTGGCAGAGGGTTCCAAGCGGGGCGTTGTTGATCAGGTGGGGCCGCACGGAGGAAGTGCTCTCAAGCTGGATTTCGGGAACAGCACAGAGAAGCATAGCAGAGGATGGTTGAAAGGGCATGGGCTTTGGAGTAGAAGGATCCGGGCTCCAGCCCATGCTTTGTCACCAAGCAGCTGAGTGTACTGGGTCCTTGCCATGTGCCTCCAGGCGCCCCTCACCCTTCCCCACCCTGCTCTGAGCCCTGGAAGCCAGCCTCTGTGGATGGCAGCCCCGAGCTCCCCTGCCCTCTGGCTTCTGGTAGGCTCTGCAGAGGGGAGGCAGCTGCAGATGGTGGTGGTGCTGAGGAATGTGCGTGTCTGGCTCCTTCTGCCTGGCTCTGGGCTGGCACCAGCTGGGCCCCTCTTCTGAGGCTCCTGTGTGACGCCTCCCCTACAGCTGCAGCCCCACAAGCCTAGGAGCTTCACCGCCCCCACCCCGCCCTTAAGGTCCAGGGTGAAACAGCATCCACTGGTGCTAGGTCCTGGGTGTACCCCTTGCTCACTCGTTCCCTTGGGCCTCCGCCCGTGGAGGCAGTATCCTCTGTCAGTGCTCGGCATCCCTGTGTGAGCATGCCCACCAGCCATGACCGTGGAATCTGACACTTCCGGGGTGATGACCATGGGCTAGTAACAGGAACTATTAAATACAGTGACAGCCGTTTGTTATCTTAAATACAGGACACTTACTATGAGCCAGAATGTGTTAAGGGTTTTTGCACATCTTTGTTTTTACTTAATCCTCAACAGTCTTGTCAGACAGGTGTGAGACAATTTCCCACCTTTTCTCAATAAGGAAGAGGAGGCAGAGATAGGCCACCAGCTGGTAAGTGAGGGGTCACCAATGAGTCAGAGTCAGTGTAACTCAGAGCTGAGCTCTTACGCTTGTCATCCCTGGGAGCCACAGCGACCCTGTCTGCTGTGGAAATGCTGAAGGAGGGACCCAGGTGGGGCATGTCGGGTGATGAGCGAGAGCTGCGGTGAGGTAGAGGAAGCAGGCCTGATTCGGGGGAGTGACAGTCAAGTCTTGAGAGCTGTAATCACTAAGAAACCAAGGGTGACATGAGGAGAGTCTGAGGTCAGAGCCGGGAAACGGGGACATGGACAAGCAGGAGACTTATGCCAACAGCGAGAGGCCTGGATGGCACAGGGGCGGGGAAGGCAGGGATCTCGACCTGCCTGCCTGTCGGGCACCAGGTGATGTCACTACACCAGGGATGCTCACAGTCACCTTCAATCTAAGGAAGGCAGGGCCAGTCCAGTCTCACAGAAAAGGAAAGGCAAGTTCAGAAAGGTTAGGAAACTCGTCCCCAAACTCAGCCTTAAGCGGGAGAGCCAGGATTCCAGCCCAGATTCATCCGGCCCCACAGCCTCTTCTGGGAGAATGAGGGTGGTCAGACATCTCAGGAAGCAAGGAAGAAAGGAATGTTGCAAAGAGAAAGGTAAACAATGTTATCAGTGGTCACATCTTATTTTAGCAGAATCTGTGGGGAAAACAGAGGGCACTGTTGGTTCCGTGGTAGAATTCTCCCCTTCCATGAGGGAGACTCAGGCTCGATTCCCAGCCAGTGCGCCTCACGCACGGCCACCACCCAGCTGTCAGTGGAGGCTTGGCTGTTGCTATGATGCTGAACAGGTTTCAGACTAAAATGGACTAGGAAGAAAGGCCTGGTGATCTACTTCCAAAAATCACCAAATGAAATCACCTCAATGAAATCACCTCAGTGAAAGCCCTATGCCCGATACAGGGGCATGGCACAGGACCGGGCAGTATTTTGCTCTGTTGTGCCTGAGGTCGTCATGAGTTGGGGGCCGACACTGTGACAGCTGTCAACAAGGGGGAGACATCTTCTCCCACCTACGCTCCTCTGTGCTGCCCAAGCACAGGAAATAATCTCTGAATCACTATGCATTTCCCCCATCCTCTGCCTGATGTGGTCTGTCTGTGCTCAGAACCAGGCCTGCGAGAGTATCAGTTTTCTTACCTCGGGACTTCCTCTTGGTGAACACTGACTGCCAGATGATAACCAGAGTGAACAGGAGGACGCTGAGGATCCCGACACAGCACACGAGGACGGCGTACACATAGAGATCTGAAAGGCAAACACAGGGCGTCACCACATCCAAGAAAGCCCACCATCCTCGGCACACAACAGGTGGGGAAACGAGTTTAGAGGTCTCAGTGCTACAACCATCAAGACCGTGTGGAACTGGCAGAGGGACAGACAGAGCCATGGAACAGAATACAGTACGCAGAAATAGACCCACACAATATGTCCAATTGTGCTTTCACCAGAGCTCAGAAGTAACTCAATGGCGGCAAGACAGGCTTTTCAGCAAATGGTGCCAGAGCTACTAGACATCCACAGGCAAAACGAAAATGAACCTCAACCTAAACTGCACACCTTATGTCAAAATGAACTCAAAGTTGATCACAAACCTAAATGTAAAACTAGAAAACTTTCAGGAAAAGAAAATAGGAGAAATTCTTCAGGATGTAGGTCTAGGCAAAGAGTTCTTTCTTTTTTTTTTTTTTGCCAATTCAACTTTTTTTTTTTTTAATTGTACTTCAGGTGAAGGCTTACAGAACAAATAGTTTCTCATGAAACAGTAGTACACATATTGTTTAATGACATTGGTTAACAACCCCACAACATGTCAACCCTCTAACTTCTCAACCTTTTTTTTTTTGGTGAAAATACACGTAGCCAAAGATACACCATTTCAAAAATTTCTTCATGCACAGTTCAGTGATATTGACTACGCTCTTCCATTGTGCTGCTATTCTCACTTTAGATGAAGGCTTACAGAACAAAATAGTTTCTCATTTAACAGTTAGTACACATGTTGCCCTATGACAACGTTGACAATCTCACAACACATCAACAATATCCTTACTCAACCTTGGGTGCCCTATCACCAGCTTCCTTGTCCCCTTCTGCCTTCTGGCCCTTGTCACTGGACTCCTGTACCTCATTAGTCCCATCTGGTTTTACGGGGCTGTCCACTCCCAGGCCGAATGGTGAACCTCGGAGATAACTTCACTGCTGAGTTAAAAGGGTGTCTGGGGCCATACTCTCGGGGTTTCTCCAGTAAATCTGGTCTTTTTTTTTTTGTGAGTTAGAATTTTGTTCTACATCCTTCTCCAGCTTTGTCCAGAACCCTCTGTTGTGATCCTGGTCAGAGCAGTCACTGGCGGTAGCCGGGCACCATCTAGCTGTACTGGACTCAGTCTGGTCGAGACCTTGGGAGCTGTGGTCCATTAGTCCTTCGGACTAATCTGTTCCTTGTATCCTGTTCTCTTCATTCTCCCTTGCTCCCGAAGGGATGAGACCAGTGGAGTATCTTAGATGGCCGCTCACAGGCTTTTAAGACTCCAGACACTACTCGCCAAGGTAGAATGTAGAACATTGCCTTTCTAAACTGTGTCATGCCAATTGAGCTAGATGTTCCCCGAGACCATGGTCCTCACAGCCCTCCTAGGCAAAGAGTTCTTGATACCAAAAAAAACCATGACCCATAAAATTAAAAATTGATAAATGAGACTCCATCATATTCAAGTCTTTGCTCTGTGAAAGCCCTTGTGGAGAGGATGAGAAGACAAGCTACAGACTGGGAGAGAATTGTTGCAAACCACGTATCTGACGAAGGACTAATCTCTGGAATATATAAACAACTCTCAAAACTCAACAGAAAAAAAAAAATCCAGTTAGAAAATATAGCAAAAGACATGAGCAGATGCTTCATCCAAGAGAATATACAGATGAAGATGTACAACATCAACCACTGAGGAAATGCAAATTAAAAACCACAATGAGATACCAATACAAACCCATCAAAATGGCTTAAAAAAAGGAGGGAAAATACCAAATGCTGGTGAGGATGCAGAGAAACTGACTCACTCATATACTGCTGGTAGCTAAAATGGTGCAGCCACTCTGGAAAAGAGCTTGCTGGTTTCTAATAAAATAACACAGGCAACTATCATATGGCCCAGGAATTACACTCCTGGAAATTTAGCCCAGAGAAATGAAAACTTAAGTTCACACGAAAACCTGCACATGGATGTTTATAGCAGCTTTACTCATAAAAGCCAAAAAATGGAAACAGCCCAGATGTCCGTCAACAGATGAATGGTTAAACAAATTGTGGTACATCCATACCATGGAATACTACTCAACAATACAAAGGAATGAACTATCAGTGATTTGGGTGAATCTCCAGAGAATTATACTGAGTGATAAAAACCAATCCCGAAAGGTTACATAATGTATGATTCCATTTATAAAACATTTTTGACATGACAAAATTATACAAACAGAGATGAGATTAGCTGTCAGGGGTTACGGGGGGCAGGGAGGTGGAGTAGGAAGGGAAGCTGGGGTGGCTATGAGGCCCCTTGTGGTGATGGAAATGCTCTGCACCCTGACTGTCTCAGCATCAAGATCTTGGTTGTGACATTGCACTGTAGCTCTACAAGACGGAACTATTGAGGGAAACTGTCTCTGTATGAAGTCTTATAACTGCATGTGAATCAACAATTATCTCAAAATAAGAAGTTCTTTTTTTGAAGTTCCAGCAGTTAAACCATGTTCATACCTCAACTCTAATGATCAACATTATCACCAATCTGATCAACAAAATTCCAAAACTGCTCAGAAAGAGAGAAGGGAAGCCAAATGCATGATTAGCTTTCAACGCAGAGAAAAGCTGCAGATGTTTGAACTTAACAAAAATGTTTCTCTGCTGACTTAAATTTCTTCAGTTAGCAACATTCCTTGTCAGTCATAAGCAGCCTTTTGCTCGATACCACAGATACAAAGATGAACACACAACGGTCCTCTCTTCAAGAAGTCAAAGGACTACGTGGTAACTGCCACAACAGAAGTGTGTGCCCAGTACTAGGAAGGGTCAGAGGAGGGGCTCGACCCGGCCGGGGGAAGCTGTGTGGCGTCTAAGCGTAGTGCAGTTCTGTGCTAAGCCATGTTTAAAATAACACAGAGAATACAAACATGTATAGAGAAAAAAACTCTAGCTATCCCATCACCCTGAAATGACCCGTTAACATCTGGTGTGTTATAGAGAGAGAGACAGAGACAGAGACCATTCAGTGGGAGAATTCTCCCCTTCCATGCGGGAAACTCAGTTTCAATTCCCGGCCAGTTCACGCCGTGAGCAGCCACTCCTCATCCATCAGCGAAGGCTTATGTGTTGCTACGATGCTGAAAAGGCTTCAGCAGAGATCTAGACTAAGATGGACTAGGAAGAAAGGTTTGGCAATCTACTTCTGAAAAGCAGCCTCAAGCTCTGGGGACCTGGAGAGGCAGTTAGTTAAGTGCTTAAACTGAAAACACAAGCAGACGGGGTCAGCAGGGGGCTGGCTGCCCGGGTGTGCCTGCAGAAGCAGGTAAGGCTCACAGTCAACGAGTGAAGGAGAGGGAAGCAGACATTGTGGGGTGCCTTTCGTCTCCCTCCTCCCTGGTCCAGGCGCCCAGGAGGCCCATGTGGCCTCCACCCTTGGAGTCCCCGAGATCCTTCTGTGTTTTTAGGCTCAGGCAGCTTTTTTAGCTATGCTAATTTGAGTGGGTTTCCCTTACTGACAACTTAAGAAGCCTGGACTAAAAATAAGGTACGGAGGAAAAACCACAGGGCCAGGTTGGAGGTGAAGGGAGCACCTACACTCTGTTTAAGGGAGCAGGGGTGGTGGTGGGACAGAGGGAACGTCTCCCATCAGGGGCGCAGGGGCCAATCAGAAGAACGGAGGAGGACGGAGCGAGAGCTCGCAGACACCAACAGCGCGGAGCACTGGAGGGCAGAATTCTGCAGCAGCATCAAGTGCCGCTGGAAAATCCCCATTGGCCTTTCCCGTTAGGAGCTGCTGGGAAGTCCGGGAGAAAGCTGTTTCCCTGGGATGCTGGGGGCAGAAGGCAGAAGAGGGCGGCCAAGGAGTCAGTGGATGTGAAGACGCTGAGGCGGAAATGAGCGGACGCTCTCATGTAACTTAACTCAGAGCTGCCTTTCTTCGTGGACGCCCCAGTGTCGATGTGTGGGCTGTGGAGATTAACAGGGTAGAGAACTGCACCAGTGGGGCACCCTGGCTTTCCTGGAGACCACCTGAAACCGGAAATGGGGCTTTGCATTCTGGGACAAGACAGTTTACAGGAAACCACGGGCCAGGGCAGAGTGCACAGACTGGATTCACTACAAGACACAGATGGGATCAGAGATGGTGAACATATTCCCAGCTCACACGCCCTTGTGCGGTGTGCTCCAGGAACAGGACTGCAGGGCCCTTTGCTGGCACCGCGGGGGGGTACACAACACATTCGTTGCCAGGCAGGCAGACACGATGCCAGGCAGGCAGACAACGTGGGACGGGTGGATGCAGCATCTGCCTGGAAGGAATTCAGGAGATGTGGACCCCAGGCAGAGTCCTTGGGTGGTGCATATGATTAATGCACTCAGCTAGCTGCTAACCAAAAGGCTGGAGGTTTCAGTACACCCAGAGGTGCCTTGGAAGAAAGGCCTGGCGATCTACCGCCAAAAAATCAGTAGGAAGACCCTAAGGAGCACAGTTCTACCGTGACACATGTGGAGTCACCATGCGTCAGAGTCAATTCTACAGCAGCTGGTACAGGGTCGCTGGACACATCCCAGTTTGCACACGGGAGAACCTGGGCCAAGAGGCAAGGCAATCTGCCTTCACTTTTATTTTGCTATGGTGAGAAAGCATGTCTTCCCATGGTCTCTGTGCTACCGGAGCAGAGTGACAGGCCCCATGAGCTTGCCTCTTCATCCCGGCTCTCTCCTTGGCTTCAGGGTTACGGGAGCCAGGGAGAGGCAGTGTGATTTCCTCCGGCTGACCACAGCAGGCCGCAGGCGTTGGGGGCTGGCTCTGCCCTGGGGGCGGTGAGGGACCTCAAAAGGCCTGCACTATGGCTTCAGATCACCGCTTCATCAACGTGGCACAAAGGAGGGGCCCACAGGCGCCAGGGCTACGGGATCACAAAACATCTGGCCTGTCCAAAGGCTCGGCGTCTCTGCCGAGCGCATGGTCCCCTGGGTTTCAAGACTGGCCAGTGCATGTGGGTCTCCACGGGCGCAGGAGCTATTGTGGCTCCTCGATACCAGATTCTCAAACCTTAAAAAGCAGCACCTAGCAGGAGAAAAACTCAGAAAGCACACCTGAGGTTCCCTGCTTGGACGGCAGCCAGTACCCAGAGCTCAGATGGTTTTCCTTCTGTTCCAAGCATTCCTTTTGCTGCATACAGACAACTGTCTTCCTGTGTCCACTCAAAGCACTGAAACCCCTCCCCTGGCTTTCCCTGAAACAAGGGTCGCAGACTTCTAAGGCTCCAGGGCCCCCGTCCTTAATGGCGGCCCGTGAAAAACGCGTTCCATGCCTGACAGCCAGTTCTCAGGCAGGAGCGTGGCTCACTGTTGCCAGAGCTTCTGGCTTTCCCTTCAGCTTTGATATAAAAATCACTCCAATTCAAACCGTCAGCTCAACGGTTTTAAACCTCAAAACAGGCCAAACAAGGCTTGTCCGTAGGCGGAATACAAACCTTCAGGGCCACATTTTGACAAAACATCTGCACTTACCCAAATCTGGAACGAGCGTCTAAAGTGCCAGCTCTCCCTGTGCACCTGCACTAAGCTGGCTGCTAGAAGTCTGGTTACAGTCACTGAAGTCACTGGCAGCTTTGGCTCTCGCCACTCAACTTCAAAAGGCACAGATACCACTTTCAGACTCAAACGCAAACCACCATGCAGAAAATGTCTCCCCACGCCCCCAGCCCAGGTCTCCCTGCAGCAGATGGTGGGGCAGGCATGCTGGAGAGGATGCAGGCGTGGCCGGGAGGCCGAGGCAGGGGGGCACAAGGGGTCAGCGTGCCAGCTCCCAGCCTCCCCAAACACTGAGCTGCAGAGCACCACGCTGAGCCCAGAGCCGCTGAGCCCAGAGCCGCTGCAACAAAAGGCAAATGGCACCTGTTGCTGGGCAACCCTGCTCCCAGCAGGAGCATTCAGCACCACTTTCAAACACGGTGACCCTCACATTCCTCAGCACAGTCGAGGAACCCAACTCCGCCCCTGGCCCCCTGAATCAAGAAATTGGACACAGTTAGATTGGTGGGCAAACAGCAGGCCCCTGGAGTCAGAGTCGACATTCCCAAAGTAAACCCAAAAACCTAGGAGATGGCAGTTTCTGTCGATAAACGTGTGTGCACTGCCATTGTTTTCCATCCAGCTGGTAATACCATCTTGCTGGGGGAGAAATACCTGAACACCGGCCCTGAGGGATCTTAACTCACTCCAGCCTCTTGCCGAGAGGCCTGACAATGCTGTTTTTGTCCAGCAGGCACACAGCCAGGCCGAACTAAGCCCCAAGAGGATGGATATCCGTCCGCAACCCTATTGTGGCTCTCCTATCCAGGAACAAAAGGGCAAAGGCCTGGGATCACATGCCAGAGCATTTCAACGCTGCCCCTGACCTTGCCAGAAGCTGTGGCTGGGTTAAAAAAGCAGGACATACAGACGCTGTCGTGCAGTTGCCGAAATCGAAGGAAAAGAACCCTTTGGAAGCAACTGCCCAGACGCATTCAACAGGGAGAATTCCAGTTCTGCTTTTCTGAAAGGACCGAATCCTCTTTCTTGAGAAGAGAGTGCAGACTGGGCTATGGATTTCACGCAGAGCTGGGTCGAGAGTAATCCTAATATTCTAGCTACACATGAGTTATAAAATACTGTTAACTTTACAAAGTGTTTTAGAGATGTAAACTATGCTGCTAAGTGTGTCGGGACTAAAATGCTGCAATCCTTCCAAACATATAAAGTCTTGTTTTTTCTACCACGGTATTTCCCAAAATATGCACCAGAACTGCCTCAGGCCCTGATACAATGCAAATGCTTTGATCCCTCTCATCAGATTCTCAGGGTGGCACCCAGAGCCGGCTTGCTAACACACTCCCCAGGAGATTCTTAAGCATCTGATAATAAACGGGGCTCCCACTGTCAGACCTTGGGGACTCCCCAGGACCATCTCACAACCCCCCTCAGCGCAGTGCCTGGGCCATGGTGAGGCTCCAGAAATGTGGGTAAATCAACTGAGTCACCTCAACTGTACTAACTAGCAAATAAGAAGGGTAACCCTTGCTTCTTCTACTGCTTCATTCTAGGAGGACTAAAGTCACTTTCATCTCTTGGCCAAAGAATAGGCATTCCCTGAAGGAGAGGCTAGGGAGGGAACAAGAGATTATTTTCCTAGGAGAAGGTCATCAAGTTAAGAAAGAGGCCACTTGGGAACATGAAGAACGGTCAGGGAATACAAAGGGTCTTTGTTGGAATAAAGTGCAATCTGAGAAACAAAATATTACAACCACAAAACTATAGAGCAAATTTCAACAGCCTAGTGTGTGGCACCTTACGATTTGCAAACTATGTTCACAATTATAGTTAGATTTTTCTAATAAAAGACAAGCCTCGGTCCACTGCTGATAACTAGTTATTGGAAGAGTTCGGCTTGAGTCAAAG